TGGTGTACAATTTCCGAGTCAGTATAATGGTGTACAATAGCTGCATATCTTCATCCTTGATGCAAGATCCTTCACAGCAGGATTAGTCAGATCACTAGCAAAAGACTATGTATAACCTGTTTTTCCTTTAAAGACCTAAATTCTGTTAAGTCATTTTCAATGTCTTCCCCAGGTGCAGTCTGGAACATTAGCCCTGGCCACAGTTTATGCCATCCATTTTTCAGTGTGGCTGCCTCTACAGACTTCCAAGCATTGACAACATTGTAAAGTATCTCACATTAAATTCCTTAAGAAACTCGCATACTGGTCTGCCAGAGTTAACTGCACTCGGTAGGCACCTCATGAAATGGGTGCTTAGGCTTACAAGAATGTAGTATGCCATTGTCCTGGGGTTGAATTAATTATGTGCAGTTAGGTAAGTAGGTACTGAAAACGTTGGTCTTTACCAGGAGTTCTGTGTTCGGATGTGCGAAATAGTTGTCTAAAATAAGCATCGTCTTACAGTTGTGGTCCAGATCAACAGTCACAATGACCTCTTGCTTCTGGAACAAAATGTTTTTCAAACCAATTCAATGTAAACAAACCGTACCACGGGAGAGGATAGAACCCGCGATCAGAGTGTCATAAATCGCCAGGTGAAGGTTCCATCCCCGCCCGTGGTACAGTTTGTAATTGTGTCTTTACCAATTCAACGTAATTTCAGTTATCCATCTTTTTTTGTTGGCATGGTAAATCACAGGAAACTGTGTTGTGCCTTTGAAAGCCCTGGGACGTAAACTTTTACCGACGACCAGTAACTTGCAGTTATGCATTCCTGTGGCATTAGAACATCCCAGCACAGCGACACGATCTTTCAATGCTCTATATCCTGTTCGTGATTCAGCATTCTCAGTTGTCAGAGTTCTTCTTGGTGTACAATGCTGTCTCATCTGCTCAGGACTTAATTTTTCATCTGAAACTTTGGCAAACTCGTCAACAAATTTAGCAGCTGCTTCCGTGTCCGCTGAACGTTTTTCACCACACTGCATGAAACTTTAAGCCATGTCGATCCTTGAAATGCTGTAGCCAACCTTCACTATAATCATGTTCATAATCTAGTCCTAGTTCTTCGTGAAAAATTTTGACTTGTTCCTCCACCAGAGCTGCAGACGGCTCAACACCTTCACTTACGTCACAACCTGATCTAATTCTGAACTTTTATCTTCATTGTCTATCCACTTACTCATGTTTCTCTGAATCACTGTCAGCAAAGAAACTCAGTAATTTATTTTCTGATCATGTCATAAACTGTTGAAGAGCCAATGTTGTTAACTTGCACAAGTTTCTCACAGACACACCGCTCTCAAGTTTTTCAGAAGTTCAACCTTATCTGTTATGGACAATGTACGGTGTTTGCGCTCTACACGAGAAACATTTCCTTTATTTGTTGGAACCGTGGCTAGGGCTAAGAGTGAGCAGGTTATAACAATAAGTGGAGAAAAAAAACAAATTGGAATGACATGCTGTAAGTAGCTCCACCAAACAGTAGCGGCAGGTTGGTGTGGCGACCCCCAGAAATTTTAAGCCTTTCACACTTGCTTTCCATTTTGTTTTTATTCACACAAAAATAGAAGATTTACTGTTATACAGACTACTTAATGTAAAAATGGTATAAATATCAGTTGAAGATTGAGACACTTATGCAGCATATGGGAATCTTTATTCAGGAAACGTTTCGCCACACAGTGGCTTCATCAGTCCAATACAAAGAGGAAGGGCTTAAGAGGAGAGAATGAGGTAATCGATCCTCAACCTGGGTCATGTGTATCATTACAAGATGATGGATGAAACATCGACTCCAGGGTTGAGGGACTGATTACTCATTCTCCTCCTCTCTTACGCCTTCCTCTTTGTATTGGACTGATGAAGCCACTATGTGGCGAAACGTTTCCTGAATAAAGATTCCCATATGCTGCATAAGTGTCTCAATCTTCAACTTGTCGGTTTTTCAAAACCATTCACCACATAAATATCAGTGCATTTGTGAAAGCATATTAGACCCACCAGCTGATGTTGTGGTGGGTCTAATATGCTACTTTGAGCTCAATTTCAAGGTACTTTTAGTCTGTAAACCATTCAAAATCATCTCTGTTTCTGTAATATATCTTCTGTTCAATCAAATGAGACCAAGAAAACGAGAATACAACCATGAATACCATACGAAAATACCCCACGAAGTCGCTGTTTTAAACGAAAAACACGGTCAGTTTTTTTTCTCATGCACTGCGTGCCGCAGGATTTATTTTATATTGCACACAGTGACCACCAGACCCATTCTCTCATACATAGGCCTACCAGCTTTCTCCTGCAAGTTTGGAAGCTGCTAGGATGTAGGTGTAGTATTATGGGACCAACATTGGCTTGCAAGCCATAATATTACAAGACCAACAGTGGAAGGGTTAAATTACGCTAGCCAAAATTAGTGCCAGATTAGTGATGGCCGACCTGTGCCAGAACTAAGATGTATCAGCTACCAGAACATAAGGAGCACTGCAGCAGGCTTACTGGCCCATGCTAGGCAACACACAAAATACTTGAAACATTTGGTAGAGAGAACCACAAAATACTTGAAACATTTGGTAGAGAGAACCACGGGAGACATGATAACATACAAAATACTTAAGAGGAACTGATAAGACAGAGTTTGAGAGGCAAGAAACAGGTACACGGGTAGGTGGGGGCAGGATCCATACGTAGTATTAAGAACAGGTATTACAGACCACGAGGCTATGAGTGAATCTGAAGAATGGCAACAGGTGGGGCCAGGAGCTGAGAATCAACCCTTGTGTCCAAAAGTAGCCAAGTGTGTGTGTGTGTGTGTGCACATGCTGCATACACACATGGGCACACACACATTTGTTTACATGCACGTGCATACACAAGGCCTGGAGCTGTGACTACCCCTGCAACAACAATTAGGTGAGTACACAGGGCCAGGAGCTGTGAATTGCAACCCTATGGCAATCATGACCAAATTAGGTGAGTACACAGGGTCAGGAGCTGTGAATCAACCCCTGCAACCACAAGGGAGTACACACACGCCAGGAGCTGTGACTACCCCTACAGCCAAAATCAGGTGAGTACACACAGGGCCAAGAGCAGTGAATCAACCCTGCAACCATAAACAGGTGAGCATAGGCACGTACAAGGAGCAGGAAAGAGACAGGCAGGGGCACCCAGACTCAGGACCAGCAAACAACCTCCCTGACAACCCACACTCCACCCCCACCATAAACTCCATTTTCACAGCAGCCTCCCATTGTTTCCTGCCAGGTCTCCCACTCCCACAGCTCCTACAAATCCCCCAGAGCACAATACTGGTAAAGAAGCTTAAGGTATGGTACACCACACAGATGGAATAACAAATAAATGTAAGGAGTGGCATGAAAGAATCATGGAGACATTCCCAGACATCATAGCACTCACAGGGAAGGTAACAGATGCAATCTTTCCATCTGGATATCAAATACTGAGGAAAGATCGAGGGAACAGAGGGGAGGCAGGTAGTAATTCATCACTGAATAGCAGGAGGCTAAGACATGAATATGAGAGTAACAGAGAAATGGCTGATACACTGAGGTGGCCAGAAGAGCCTATGTGAGCATGACAAAGTTACTAGTTGTGGATGCTTTCAACCACAAGCAGATTGATTGGGAAAACCTGGAGCCACATGGGGGCCCAGAAATGTGGAGGACTAAGATGATGGAGGTGGTACTGGAAAACCTCATGCATCAACATGTTGTTTACTCTACCAGAGAGAGGAGAGGATGAACCAGCAAGACTGGATCTCATATTCACCTTGAGTAGTTCAGACATTGAGAACATCACATATGGAAGACCCCAGAGCTAGTGATCAACTGATCTTGAACTACAAACACACTGTAGAGTTACAAGTGTAGAGTGAAGCAGGAAGAGTAGGATAAGATAAGATTTCGTTGGATTTTTAACCCCGGAGGGTTAGCCACCCAGGATAACCCAAGAAAGTCAGTGCGTCATCGAGGACTGTCTAACTTATTTCCATTGGGGTCCTTAATCTTGTCCCCCAGGATGCGACCCACACCAGTCGACTAACACCCAGGTACCTATTTGCTGCTAGGTGAACAGGACAACAGGTGTAAGGAAACGTGTCGAAATGTTTCCACCCGCCGGGAATCGAACCCGGGCCCTCCGTGTGTGAAGCGGGAGCTTCAGCCACCAGACCACCGGGCCAGAAGGTAAACTACAAGAGAGGGAACTACACAGACACTGTAGAGTGTAGCAAGAAGAGTAGGATGGCAGAAGGTAAACTACAAGAGAGGGAACTACACAGACACTGTAGAGTGTAGCAGGAACAGTAGGATGACAGAAGGTAAACTACAAGAGAGGGAACTACACAGACACTGTAGAGTGTAGCAGGAACAGTAGGATGACAGAAGGTAAACTACAAGAGAGGGAACTACACAGACACTGTAGAGTGTAGCAGGAAGAGTAGGATGACAGAAGGTAAACTACAAGAGAGGGAACTACACAGACACTGTAGAGTGTAGCAGGAACAGTAGGATGGCAGAAGGTAAACTACAAGAGAGGGAACTACACAGACACTGTAGAGTGTAGCAGGAACAGTAGGATGGCAGAAGGTAAACTACAAGAGAGGGAACTACACAGACATGAAGATATTCCTACATAAGGCACAGTGGTAAAGAGAACTGGTGGGAACAACAGTAAATGATGGAATATGTGACCACAGAATGCAAGAAGACAGAGGAGAGGTTCATAACCAAGGTCAACACAAGCAATGGTAAGACTAGAACCAGTCCTTGGTTCACACAAAGGTGTGGAGAAGCCAGAACCAGTCCTTGGTTCACACAAAGGTGTGGAGAAGCCAGAACCAGTCCTTGGTTCACACAAAGGTGTGGAGAAGCCAGAACCAGTCCTTGGTTCACACAAAGGTGCGGAGAAGCCAGAACCAGCCCTTGGTTCACATAAAGGTGTGGAGAAGCCAGAACCAGTCCTTGGTTCACACAAAGGTGTGGAGAAGCCAGAACCAGTCCTTGGTTCACACAAAGGTGTGGAGAAGCCAGAACCAGTCCTTGGTTCACACAAAGGTGTGGAGAAGCCAGAACCAGCCCTTAGTTCACACAAAGGTGTGGAGAAACCAGACCTAAGTGTACTAGAGAATGGAAGAAGTATAGAAGACAGAGGACACAGGAAAATAAGATTAGTCGAAGAGTCAGAAATAAATATACACGGATAAGTAGGGAGGCCCAGTGACAATACCAGAATGACACAGCAGCAACAACCAGACCCTGACCCAGAGCTGTTGTACAGCCACATCAGGAGGAAAACAACAGCCAGGGACCAGGTAATCAGGCTGAGGAAGGAAGGGAGGTCACACGGAGCAAACAGGAAGTATGTGAAGAACTCCACACGAGATTTAAGGAAGTATTTACAGGTGAGCACATGCACACACACGCCACACAAAAAAAAAAAGCAGGGAGAGAAGCTGTGACTCGACCCCTGTAACCACAAATAGGTGAGCACAGTATAAATTATCCACTACTAATGGTGGACAATACACCAGTTAATATTTTTTATTAATAATCAACTACTAATATTTACATTGGTTAAAAATTCCCTCAATTTATCACTGAACGACCCCATTAAAACACACTACCAGCAAACGCAAAATTTAACAAATTGGGGATAAAACAAAAACAAAATCCAAGGCTAAACAGCGTTTGGAGGACGGACAGAATCTGTTAGTTGCAGAACTGTCCGCTGGTCTTATGATCTGCCAAGTCAATTCATTTTCAAGTAATTGGGCAAAATCCACTTGATTGGAATTGTCTGGCCTTTTTTTACGGAGAAGTTTGGATTTCACGGAGTCCGAAATACCCAAATTTGTCTGTTATGGTTACAATCATGGGAAACAATCTCATAAATTGACTATAATGGTCACCTCCCACCCCATCAACCCATTAAATCAAGGTTTCAATTTCAGTCCTTAAAATTGCCACAGTTGTCAAATTAAATTTCTTTGACCAGGTGTTAAATTGTAGATGTTGCTGCATGAATAAACACAGGGATGGGCGAGAGGCTCGAACTGCAGTCCCCACATCTTCAGGCCCGTTGTGCTATCACTCGGCTACTGGCTTGCTGATAGGGAGGATTTGTAACTAGTGTTTACTGTACTATTAACAAACATATTGGGGTGGTCCTAAATTGTGTACATGTATAACATTCATGTACGTATTGTGTATAATAATTACACAATACAGGTCCCAAACATGTTTGTAAAGTGAAGACTTCCTGTATTATGAATGTTATACACAATTCAGGAGACCCCAATGTGTTTGTAAGTAAGGACTTACTGTATTTCACCAGAGGCATCAACTGCAACCCAACTGAACTCCTTCTGTCCTATCAGAAGCCCTGTAGCTGAGGCAGTCAAGTAGTTGGCCTGACAGCTTTGGGACCATGGTTCAAGCCTTCAGTCCATCCTTTTGTTTATACAGGACTTAATCTGAGTTCAAAATTTATATAATTATTTCAGTTTTTGCTTTCTTTGCGCTCTTCAATGTTCACGGTTCCATCAAGTCGCTTAGTGAAACGGAGGTTTTCTGTCTGGTACGTAAACTGGATGATGTCATCCTGTTCTTCCAGGTATGACATCAAGTTCCAGGCGTCGATAGCGACAGCGAAACAGGACGACCCTACAAAGTGATTGCTGTAGTATATCCGGTCATCAAATCCTAGCAACTCCTGAGCAAGCTCATCCGTCAGCTCGACAGACTGGTTGCACGACGACAGCTGAGGGTAATACCACCTCCTAAACTTGTCCCTCGATTCCGGATGTGAGTAGAGGCGGATGCTTCGTTTTTGCAACTGCTTCAGCAAGACGAAGAGGTCCTCTGGGGTGAGCGAAGTATCTTGTAGATGGATACCGGCATAGCAGGTGTGCATGGTGCCCAGGAGGTTAGCCAGCTTGGGGATGCAAGAGGCACCAGTCCTACACAAATGTACATCCATAAGAGGAACTGTACTGCACGGCAAGTTATTAATGTCTTCCTCCAAGATCAGAAAATCAATTTTGACCTCCAGCCACAACAATTTTGGCAAGTACTTGTTGATCACAAGTAATGTTGACAGGGATATTTTGTCCAAGACACGCATCTTTATGTACACTAAATGTCCAAACGCCGGCTCTGACACAAGTTCTCTCAGTATTTTGACAGAAACGCATCCTGCCAGCAAGTCGATTTTGGTCACTACATGGTCTCCGAAAAATGCCTTGATGATGCGGTCCATTTTATGACTGGCGCCATACTGAAACTGACACATGCTGTCGAGCCACAAAAATATATCTACACGACACAAAAAACCGATCACTCTGTTCAGCTCTGAATACACCTTTGGCTCTTCCACATTGAGGAATATTCTAGTGGGTGCGACATTCATCAGGAGAGCTTCTATGGGTATCAACTGGGCATCGGCTGCACTTACGTTCCACTCGTCAGGGTACTCCGACATGTCCACAATGTATTCCACTAGCCGGGGCACAGCCTTCACCTCTGCAACAAGATCCATGTTAAAATTAAGGTATTCACTGCTGTCGTCAGTGTGGTTGAGGACAGCACTAATCAATCTCCTCTCATCCAGCTCTTGTAATGCGCCTCCAGAGTCCCTTCTGAGTCTCAGTATAAGACCACCCATGAAAAGCGCCAGCTGGTATGCACAATATGACTCTCCAACGAGGCTCACCATTTTGTTATATTCAAGGATTTTGTGATCAGCGTACCAAGCTGCCAAAAACTCTTCCTGGACCTTGTGCAGGGAAGTATAACCTTGACTCTCAGTGCCAAGGAAGCAACGCTGCTTGAACACACCCGACATAAGATTCCAACAAACGGCGCTAGACAGGTTTCCCAAGGTTTCACTTTCAAGATGCTTCATGTAATCCCCTTCAAGTCTTCTGCCATCCCTGAAAGCTTCCAGTGCTTTTTCGCCAGCAGTCGTTAGCCACTGTAATGCTTGCTTCTCTGTAACAACCTGTGGACTATCAGCAAGTGCTTCATTTATTCTCCGTAGAGTGAGAGTCCAGAGCAGGTCGGTAGCTGTTGTCACTTCGTCATAAATATCCGGCTTCTCGGCATAAGCTCGGCACGTCTGCAGAAGAGTGTCAGGGTATTTCAGCACGTGTGCAAGTCTGCAAATATTTTTCGTGAGAAACATCTTGAAGCGCTTTGGGTCTGCTCGTGCCGTCTTCTGGCATAAGAGCCATTCTGCCAGGGCAACAATTTCTTCTCGATTATAACCATTCAGATGGAGATTCACCGTGGGAACGTCCGTCCAGTTGTGCCGCAGTTGATCGTAAAATGAGGGAACGGATAAAATTATGGCGGTGAGGAACCTACAGTGCATAATTAAATCTTTGATCTCCTGTGTCCGCTCATCGCTCAATTCCTCCGCATCGTCAACAACCAGCACGACGCGCGCATCACTCAACCATAACCGAACCTTGTCTGCTCCGTGAGTCAGAGCACATAGTGGCAGAACCACACAAACAAGATCTTCCTGTGACATACTAACTGCCGCTCCTGATACAACAATGACGGCCTCATATTCACCAATCCGGCAGATCCTCTCATCCATCTGTGTCCAGGACGATGCCAAGAGCGCCGCCAGACTTGTTCGACCGCACCCCGGCTCCGCCCTGATGAAACAAACGCCAGTGGCGGGCTTTGCCTCCTTGCCAATGAGCTTAACCAGCAAATCTTGGATACCTACGCTCTTGCCAGGACCCAAACTGTAGAGGCGACAAAAAATTACAACTTCTTAAAGTTTTGATGTACGACTGACGTATGTGATCAACATTAAACCCAGAGACACTATAAAGTATACAGTAAACCCTCTTATAAAGCTTTTCTATACAGTGTACTTATTCAAATACAGTTGAAAATGCATCAAAAATTGAACGTGTACTATACACAAGCTATTCAATTTTGGTTCAGCTTTTTCAACTAAATTCACAGAAAACTGCACTGTATAGAGCAGAGCTGTACAAGAGAGTTGTGTTAGAGCACGTAGAGCCTTCTATGGTAAGCCGTGCAGCTAACTCAAGCTTAGTTTACAAACTTAGAAATCTAATAAGAGTCAGCCTTAGAAATTCCTTGAAGCCAGAGTTCTTCAACAACAAGGATCAAGACTTATCGAACTCTAAACATTTTATAGCAAAAAAAACTTGCTTTAAAGCAACCAAATTTATAGTTTTAAAGGTTTATATCCCACTAAATTCCATAGAACTACATCACTGAGGTCAGGGTCCCTGGCATAGTTCTTGGTCATGAGTTCAGATAAGCTGTGAGTGGTAAATGTGGACCTTGATAAGAGAGAATGGGTCTATGCAGTGTGTACTTACTGTACTATATAAAAAAAAATCCTGCATAATGGGAAAACCTGAAGTGGTGTTTTTGGTTTAACCCCTTGACTGTCGCAACCCCAAATCCTGAGGTGTCGCAAAATTTCAAAAAAAAAAAAAAAAAAACTTATGAAATGATAGAGAATCTTTTCTCAATTGTAATGACACCAAAAGAACGAAATTTGATGGAAAACTGACGGAATTACGCTCTCGCGAAGTTAGTGGCCTCGGCGATATTTACAAATCGGCGATTTCACCCACTTTGAGCCCTATTTTCGGTCAATTCCATTGTTCCAGTCGACCAAACTCATAGCTATTTCTTTAGAACTCCATTTTTTCTAAATCGAGTACAAGAAACTGCCCATTTACCAATTTCAACTACCCAATAACGTGGTCAGAAATTTGAAATTTGGCCAATTTCACGAAAATTAAAAAATATGACAATTTCAAAATAGGATCCAGAATGAACAATGCAGACATTCCTGGCTCTAAAATAACATTTTCTTTGTTCATCAGTCATGTCTCCAGGTCCCTCTGATATTACTCTTGCTTTCTATTTTGAATTTTTATTCAAACAAAAAATAGAAGATTTACTATTATGCAGACTACTGCAATATTGTAATAATTGTATAAATAACATCAACCCATTCATGACTACATATTAGAATGGCTAGTTGGACATTTATTGGACAATGATGTCATTTGTTTACTTTTGAACATCGGCAAAAATCAAACATTTCCCCTACTTTGAGCTCCATTTGAAGGTTCTTTTTATAGTAAAATCAATCAAAATCACCTCTATTTCTATAATATGTTTTCCATTCTATCAAATGAGACCAAGAAAACGAGAATACAACAATAAATACTATACGAAAATAGACCACAAAGTCGGCATTTTAATTAAAAAAAAAAACGGTCTGAGTTTTCTTTTTCTCATTATGCACTGCATGCTCCAGGTTTTTTTTTATATGGTGCACACTGACCACACAGACCCATTCTCTCACATGTGGGCCTACCAGCTTTCTCCTGCTTGATTTGAAACCGCTAGAATTTATGAGTATATATACGTCAAGAACGGTGGCTCGTAAGACGTATACGACCGAAACAGTCAAAAGGTTAAAACAGCGACTTTGTGGTCTATCTTGTATAGTTTATAGTTTGTTTACGGTCTCATTGATTTATTTATTTGATTCATTTGAATATTTTGATTTTTGATTTATTATACAGAAATTGAGCAGTGATTTTGCATTGTTTCGGACAGAAAATTACTCTGAAACTGGTTCAAAGTAACCCCACAAATGTTCGATGTAGCACAAATACCGATAAGGAAGTTAGCACGACTACATGTCGATTGACATTACAAACACATTACTTTTCATCGTCCCGGGGACGTAACACGTCGAGCTTCGTGGGTTAATGTATCGTCCACAAATATATCTCTGATGTTGTTTATACAATTATTACAATAATGCAGTAGTCTGTATACCAGTAAATTTTCTATTTTATTTTTTTTTTGTGTGAATAAAAATTGAAAATAGAAAGCAAGCATAATAAGGAGAGGCTTGGAGACATGAACACAGGAAATGCTTTTTAGTGCCAGGAATGTTTACATCGTTTAATCTGAACCCTATTTTGAAATTGGCAGTTTTTGAATTTTGTGTGAAATTGGCTAAATTATCAATTTCTGATCACTTTATTGGGTAGTTGAAATAGGTAAATGGGTGGGTTCTTGTACTCACTTGATAGAACAGAAGGAATACTAGTGAAATAGCTATGAGTTTGGTTGACTGGAACAATGGAATTGGCTCAAAGTTGGTAAAATAGCCAATGTGTAAATATTTGCCAAGACCACTAATTTTACGAGAGCGTAATTCCACAAGTTTTACATCCAATTTTGTACCTTTAGAAAAAGATATGCTTATTTTTTTTTTTTTTTTTTTTTTTTACATTCCCTGACCCTAGAGCAAGTTCCAGATCAGGGGTTCCGACCCTGAAAAGGTTAAAGGTTTTCATCCCACTAAACCGAAAATCCTTCAAATTTATAATTTTAAAGATTTTTGCCAACCAAATCCTTTAACCTTTTCAGTGGTCGTCACATAAAACTACATCATTGAGGTCAGGGTGCCTGGCGTAGCACTACGCCATGAGCTCGGCTCACTCAGATGAGCTGTGAACATTGTACATTTTGGACTGGATATGAGAGAATGGTTCCATGGGGTAGTGGAACAGAACTCTTCCTCCGTAAGCCATGGGTGTCGTAAGTGGCGACTAACATGCCAGAAGGGGCTAGTAACCCCCTTCTCCTGTGTACATTACTAAGGTTAAAGAGAGAATCTTTCATTTTTCTTTTTAGGTCACGCTGCCTCAGTGGGATACGGCAGGTTTGTTGAAAAAAAAAAAATGAGAGTATGGACCTGGTGTGGCGAGTGTGCATCATGTAAAAAAAATTCCTGCCCTACGTGATGCACGATGGGAAAACAAAACTGTGACCATGGCCAGGTTTCAAAATCTACAAACAGTCTTGTAGGATTTTTGTCAAGACATTTCAAAATTATCCAAAGTAGTCTTTTATCAAACAGAAGCAAAGGCCTGTTATCTTTAGCATGGGCCTACTAGTTCTACCACAAGTCTAGTACATGTTCTAACCCTACAAGAGACTTTCCATATAGTAGTACATCAGTGATATCAGCTACGGCCTGTGTACCTTGTACATGTACTCGTAGAAATAAAGATTATTACTGACCGCATTACAGACAGGAGTCAGGTTCTCGAGTCCTTGGAACCTTGAAGACTAACCCAAGTGAATTTTTAGGGCTGACCACCGTAAAGTTCAGCTAAAAATCGGAACTTACAAAATTTTGTCCATTACAGGAAATCAAATGACAAATTCAATACACATGGCAATTAATGGTGTATGTCTATGAAATCTAGAGTGCAAAAATAAAAATCAAATCTTAATATTAGCATAAATATAGGCTATGTTAAGAGAAATTAACAAAAAATTAACATATTGCATCAATTTTTTTATACAAAATATGGCATTTAGAATTAAATTAAACCTGCTAAAGACTGGTTTAAATAAAACTGTTTATATTATTGTTATTAATACATAAAAATTACGGAGTAATAATGCATATGAATGGAATACATAGGAGGTCCCCTAGAGTTACAAACACCCATTTGGTTCAAACACAAATGTGGAGATCCGGAATGAACTCAAATTTTGGAACTACTGGGCAGCTGTTTTAACTCGTTTGAAATGCGTACACTACCTTTACTGCTGCTTTCTGTACAGAAATCTTAAGTTAAAACACCAGCAACACAACTTGTAAGTTGAAACACCTTGGAAACGTCTGTAAACTGGTGACCTCCTTTACTATGCCCTAGTAACTGCCTCGTTAGAATGCCACTAGACCGAGTTGCGAAAAAAAAAAAAACAGAAATGTACTCTTGGAAAAGCTGGAAGCATCAAATCGACCTGCGCGAAAATGTGTGACGGATGTTTCAAGCCCAAAGGTCCGGCCTCTGGGCAGGTGAACACAGAACAAGTGCCCCCTCGCTTTAAAATGGTTCAACTTACGATAGTTCAACTTTACGATGGTGTGATAGCGATGCATATTCAGTAGTTGTCAAACTTCAAGTGGCACGTAGTGATATTTGTACCTGTACAATACATGTAGTGATGGCCACCCATGTACATTACCTCATAAACCATTTCCCCTTGTAAATTATAACCCCCTTGCTATCTCCCTCCTACATAAAGATGGTGCGTATGTGTCAGTGGCTGTCTGTGCCCTAGTATACGACAGTGGCCATCCGTGCCCTGATGTATGACAGTGGCCGTCCATGCCCTGATGTATGACAGTGGCCGTCCATGCCCTGATGTATGACAGTGGCCGTCCATGCCCTGATGTATGACAGTGGACGTCCATGCCCTAGTGCGAGAGAATCAACAATTCCTTCAATGAGAAACAAATAAGAAATTTAACAGAGGTTATGTGATCAATGACCCTGACTGTGACAGACTGAAAGAATGGTAAAGATATTACTGCAGCCAAGGAGAAAAAATGCTACAAAACACCGACACTCTGGAAACGCACACACGTAGAGTAAGAAAATCCTTACCTGACAATGTTTTACCTACATCGGAGTTTTTCAACTGGAAAAGCCCACTGTGTATGTGAAAAAGTGTTAAGTGATCTTATTACGCTGTATTTGTGTATGCTTCTAGAGTAAACTGAAAATATCTCCTGAATAACTGGAGTCAGAACAAAAAAAGGTGACTGGATTCCACCTCATTCCACTAATTCCAGTCATCCACCTCAGCTCAGTAGAGCCAGAGCTGCCCTCTCACTGAAGTCAAAAACCATCATACATCAACAACCATAACTTGAGTAACAGTCACACTGTGGTTCTACTGGTGTGTCCCGTGGCTGGGTTGGTAGCGCACTCGCCTCACACACTGAGGTTCATAGTTCGATCCCTGGTATGGGTGGAAAGACCAGGACATGTTTCCTTAAGACACCCACTGTCACTGTTCACCTTGCGTACCTGGGTGTTAGTCAATTGGTGTGGGTGGCATCCCGAAGGCAAAATTGACCTAATTTGCTCAAAATGCGTAACCAGGGACTTTCTATATAGTATGTCACTGATGTCAGCTATGGTCTGTATAAGTTGTATCATGTACTGCTAGAAATAAAGATTATCATTATTATAATAACTCAGATTAAATTATCATAGCTTAAATGATCAATTTACTCTCCATAATGTACTGCATGTATTTTAAAATTATTATTTTACACGATGTGCGAATATAAAAATGAAAACGCGTCTGGTGTTTTTTGCAGTGTTTGGAATGTAATTATTCCCATAAGGTCTTCATCCAAGCAATACGATTTCACTCACGGCTCCGTAAGAATGTAACTTTCACGAATGACTTAGGCCTACTGTATTTAATGTATATAACTCCCAGCATTCTCCACTAACACATGAAATGGCTATACAGACGACAGAATGCTCAAATCCATATTTGAATTTTCATGAAACGTAAAAACCTCACGTTTGCTCTCAAAATTAAAAAAAAAAAAATACTACATATGACGTCGAGACACGGGGAAAAACAAACGGGACTCACACGGGTGTTTTTCGGGACCTTCTCTTGGGTATGTCCATGGCTTCGGTGACCCACAGACACATGGGATCCAGCTCCGGCTTCCTGTACTGCCGATGACGCATATGTAGCTCCACCCTCACGTCCTCTGAGGGAGAATTATATTGTAATACAAGTGAATGATAATTATAATAAAACTGATAAAAATGATAAAAATAAAAATAAGATATGATAATGAGGACAATGTATGGTGTGAATATAATGCAGAGAATCCGTAGTTTGGAGATTAGGAGGAGGTGAGGGATTACCAAAACTATTATCCAGAGAGCTGAGGAGGGGTTGTTGAGGTGGTGCTGAGGAGGGGTTGTTGAGGTGGTGCTGAGGAGGGGTTGTTGAGGTGGCGCTGAGGAGGGGTGGTTGAGGTGGCGCTGAGGAGGGGTGGTTGAGGTGGCGCTGAGGAGGGGTTGTTGAGGTGGTGCTGAGGAGGGGTTGTTGGAGGTGGTGCTGAGGAGGGTTTGTTGAGGTGGTGCTGAGGAGGGGTTGTTGAGGTGGTGCTGAGGAGGGGTTGTTGAGGTGGTGCTGAGGAGGGGTTGTTGAGGTGGCGCTGAGGAGGGGTGGTTGAGGTGGCGCTGAGGAGGGGTTGTTGAGGTGGTGCTGAGGAGGGGTTGTTGAGGTGGTGCTGAGGAGGGTTTGTTGAGGTGGTGCTGAGGAGGGGTTGTTGAGGTGATGCTGAGGAGGGGTTGTTGAGGTGATGCTGAGGAGGGGTTGTTGAGGTGATGCTGAGGAGGGGTTGTTGAGGTGGTGCTGAGGAGGGGTTGTTGAGGTGGTGCTGACGAGGGGTGGTTGAGGTGTTGCTGAGGAGGGTTTGTTGAGGTGGTGCTGACAAGGGGTGGTTGAGGTGGCGCTGAGGAGGGGTTGTTGAGGTGCGCTGAGGAGGGGTTGAAGTGGTGCTGAGGAGGGGTTGTTGAGGCGGTACTGAGGAGAGGTTGTTGAGGTGGTGCTGAGGAGGGGTTGTTAAGGTGGTTCAGACATGTAGAGAGGATGGAACAAAATAGAATGATTTCAAGAATGCATAAATCTGTAGTGGAGGAAGGCGGGGTAGGGGTCATCCTAGGAAAGGTTGGAGGGAGGTGGGTAAAGGAGGTTGTGTGTGTGTGAGGGGCTTGGACTTCCAGCAAGCATGAGTGAGCGTGTTAGGAGTGAATCGAGACAAATGGTTTTTAATACTTGACATGCTGTTGGAGTGTGAGCAAAGTAACATTTATGAAGGGATTCAGGGAAACCGGCAGGCCGGACTCGAGTCCTGGAGATGGGAAGTACAGTGCCTGCACTCTGAAGGAGGGGTGTTAATGTTGCAGTTTAAAAACTGTAGTGTAAAGCACCCTTCTGGCAAGACAGTGATGGAGTGAATGATGGTGAATTTGGAGTAAATGATGGTGAAAGTGTGTCTTTTTCAGGTCACCCTCCCTGGGTGGGAGACGGCTGATGTGTTAATAAATAATAAAAATAAAAAACAAAAATGATAAAAATAAAAATATTAATAAAATAAAGTAAAATGAATAAAATATTCAATAATAAACATTTGAATAAGGAAGCACTAAACCCGTACGGGTTATACAAAGCCTGGCGAACAGAGGTGCACTCAAGTTCAGTCCGATGAACAGGAAAGCTCTCCAATCCCTCGGATCAAGAGCTCTTCACTGCCGTCCCTCCCTCGTTACCTCAGCAGATGCTCAGAAATGGACTGGCGGTGGGCGCCTGACCCTACTCGTGTGCAGGTGCCAGAGCGATGCCAAAAGTGCTGTCGGCGCCCTCGGAGACCCAGGTCCAGTCGCCACTACAACTACACAAGACAAGACACACATGCCCCTGTGGTAACAGCAGTTAGTTAGGTTTCAAATCTATCTACTGGTTGTTTTTCTAGGTTTTAAAGTCTACTGACTGGTTGGTTTATTAGGTTTAAAGTCTATCTACTACACCAGGGTCATTAAGGCTGCACCACCAGTCAAGAATACTTTAATACCTAAAATACTGATTAATGTAAACTACCAGTGTATATACACTGAGATATAAACCTCTCAGTGTATGTACACTATCAGTGTATACAAAGACATACACCTCAGTGTATACACACTTGAACCATACACCTTTTAGTGTATACACTCATCTCTCACAGCAAGTAACACATACACAAACACCAAATAAGTCTCATTTTATTACAGTGTTTGGCTACACCCTAGTAAGCAATCTCGCAGCATTGTACACATAGGAGAGAGAGAAGTTTACCACGTTTCGGTCCCTCTTAGACCAAGTCGAACCAAAATGCCATTATAAGTTTATTTCTCCTATGTGTGGGCTATTTGTGTATACCGTAAGTCTCCCGATTTACAGACACACTGAGAATCTTTTGTATTGCGTATATCATTATTATATACACTACGTTAAGTCCCCAATGTGTTTGTAAGTCTGGGACTTACCTTACAGTAGTCCCCCCATATCCGCGGGTGATATGGTCCAAGACCTACCTGCGACCACCCAAAACTGTGGATAGTAGCAGACCCCCATGTCATTTTCCTCCGATATAGCTACCTATGATAAAGTTTAATTAATAAGTTATACACGATAATTGTCATTTTTTAACTGATGGGAAGCATTCACGGCTTCTCTTAGGCTTTGAAGATCTGCCATCATCACTACTTTTGCACTCTGGGGTCATTATAAAGCAAAATTAAAGGTTATTTTCAGGCCACAGTAAGCCATGGATAAATGAATCCATGGAAATTTATTCTGTGGATATGGGGGTTCTACTGTAGATGAATCAAGCTGAACGTAAATTTAAAAATACAGTGGTCCCTCGTTTTTCGTAATTAATCCGTTCCTGGAGCCGTTACTATAAACGAAATTTACGATTTTCGAATCAATTTTCCCCATAAGAAATAATGTAAATACAATTAATCCGTTCCTGACACCCAGAAGTATTAAAACAAAAAATTTTTTACATGAAATATACATGTAGTACATAAACAATACAATGGTAAATGATGAATGAAACATTAACAGCATAACACTTACCTTTATTGGAGATTCTTCTTAGTGTATGGGAGACTGGAGGAGGAGAGGGGAGTGGATTGTTTATAGTTTGGAAGGGGAATCCCTTCCCAGCACACCTCAGGTCCCAATTTGCTTCTCTGGGGTTGCTTCTCTTCTCTTTTCTTAATTGCCACTAGGCCCCACCTTGGGAGAGTCACTCTAGTCTTGTCTTGCAAAGAACTGTGGAGAGAGCTCTGTTTCTGGCCCCTTTTTAACACTTCCCTAAAATGGCCCAAGACTTTGTCACTTTTACATGTTCCCAACCCTGGCTTGAAACAAACTTGTTAGGGTGATGTTTCTCCATAAAGCTTTCCATTTTCCCCACATATTTAAAAATCTCTTTAATTTCTGAAGAGGCACCTTCTTCCATCTCTCTTCCTCCTCCTTGCAGCAAGATTCTGAGCTGCGATGTGTTGCTCTTCCTGCTGAAGCTCTTGCAGCTCCTCATTTGGGAGCTCTTCATTGTGGCTTCCACCAATTCTTCCACATCCTCCAAACTCACATCCAACCCCATGGAATCCCCAGTTCACTTTGATTTTACAACAGACATAGGCTCATCAGGTCAGTCCCAAACCCTTCATAACCCTCTTGGACACAATCTGGCCACAATTTTCCCCAGGCAGATTTCAAAGTCCTGGTATTTCACTCCCTCCCAAGCCATACCTAAAAGGGGTTTTATGCAGTGGAGGATGCTGAAGTGTTCTCTCCAAATTCCCTTAGGGTCAGTGAGTGTCTGTGGTCACGGGTCAAGCACCTGTGAAACATTGCTTTTGTGTTAGAGTTTTTTAAAGTTTGCAATAACCTGTGGTCATGGGTTGGAGGAGAGGAGTGGTATTCGGGGGCAAAACTTTACTGTGATGAACCCAAACCCTCGAAATTAGGTCATCCAAGTTTAGAGGATGAGCAGGTGCATTGTCCATTACTAGCAGGCACTTGAGATCAATTTCTTTTCCAGGAGATACTCCTTCACACTGGCCAAACCTTCATTGAACCACTCGACGAAAATTTCCTCGTGACCCATGCCTTACTATTAGATTTCCAAAACACACACAATTACTCTTCATAACATTGTTTTTCCTGAACACTCTGGGATTTTCAGAATGGTACACTAGTAAGGCTTCACTTTGAAATCCCCACTAGCATTAGCACAGAACATTAGGTCAGCCTGTCTTTCATAGGCTTGTGTCCTGGCATTGCCTTTCCTCTTGTGTAATGAAGGTCCTCTTTTGCATTTTCTTCCAAATAGGCCTGTTTCGCTCACTTGAACACTTGTTCAGGTTTCAGTCCTTCAGCCTCTTTGTACTCTGGAATTCATGCACATATTTTTTTTAGCGCCTTGTGGTCGAACTGGCAGCCTCCCATGCCTTTACCACACTGTGTATGCCAGTACGTTCTTAAATCTCTCAAACCAGCCTTTGCTGGCCTTAAATCCACTCACTTCACCCCCTATTTACAGGCATTTCTTTACCAAAATCTTCATGCAAAATGCCTAGCCTTTTCACAAATAATCAAAGTCATAAGAGTATCTCCTGCTAAATTTTTTCTCATTTTCCACACCAATAATAACTTCTCAACTCTTCCAGTACTGGTGATCTCATTTTTGTTTAGGGATAGTTTTCCCTTTGCAACAACAGCATCCTTTATTTCCTTTTTCTTGGCCACTAGGAACATAAGGTTGTGTAGGGTTTCTTATACATCCCGGACAGTTCAGCCACACTTGTACACTTTCATATTGTTCAATGATGGTTTTCTTAAATTCAATCATATTTCTCACCTTCTTTACCACAGGCTTGGCACTAGGAGCTTTCTTTGGAGCCATGGTAGCTTATTTAGTACTTGGCAAGCACTAAAATAAATGGAATATTATGAAATATTTCGCTGGAGCATGTGAGGGAACCTTCACTCACTGGTAAACAATGCCAGACTGGCTGCTGCCCCGGCTCACGCCGTGGGTATGCGTCCCGGACGAATACGACTCGCGAGTCAACCTATGAAAAGCGAGTCGATGTTCATACGAAAATACCCCTATGATTGGCGAATTTTACGATTGCCGGGAACTACAAAAAGCGGGGGACCACTGTACATCACAGATTTAGCAGAAACTCAGACAATCCTAACAAGCGAGAAAAAAAATTTTAGCGTATTACTAAGAATAAAATAAACAGTAGTTATGAATATTAAAGCCACACAGCTGCATAAAAAGATTCTGCATATGTTAAAGCCTAATCACTACAGTGTGTACCGTATTACAAAACTGTAATTCAACTATTCTGGTCTTTCTCGTTTTATGCTGTAGATATGTTCCGGGCTCTTGGCATGTGTACTAAGATCAGTTGTGCCAGTAACACTGAACTCTACGTCATTCTAGACAAAATTGTCACCTATAGTACCCAGGGTACACTGTACCCAGTGAGGACAAATAAAGTCAAAGTATCGCAAGTCAAACCATCGTAAAGCAAGGAGGACGTGTTAACCCATTCACTATCTCCTATGTTGATCTACGTCACTGGTGATGGTGTTCATTAGTAAACATGCACCTTCATTGCAGTGCCCTCAAAGATGCTGTGATTGGTAAACCTAGGCTTAGACATGAAATAATGGATCTGTGCAGTTAGTATGCTCAGCATAAAAATAATCCCACCCCCGTGTAATGCATGATGGGAACAGTGAGTGCCTGGCCCTGGTGTCTGGTTTGAACAGCAAGCCATACCATGGGTGGGATTGAACCCGCGGTCAGAGTCTCAAAACTCCAGACCGTTGCGGGTTCAATCCCACCCGATGGTATGGTTTGTTTGCAATCGTGTCATTACGATTTCGTGAGTCATGTTGAACAGCAACTTTGGAGGTGTTTTCTAGGATGGTTTTAATGGTTTCACTGGCTGTTTCTTGGAGTCAGATGACAAACCATAAGACATACTAGCGAAATGCATTTGATTTTGGTAGTTTGAGACTGGAAACTGCATGAAAATAGGTCTCGAAGTAGCGGAAATATTTGACTTTTGGCAATTTTCTTGAAGGGTCGGACCTTCCACAATCCTCCCCGCCATCTGTTTTATGTGTTTCTTAACTAGGTCTGCTTCAATTACTGGGACGGCCTAAATCAATCATTCTTGGTAGTATTTTATTAGGCAAAGAATAGGGTAAAACGTAAATTTTTTGAGTGATGATGGATTCAAAACGGAGAGCAAGTGTTATACTCTGGAGGAGAGGCCTGAGGAAGTGATAATGAACTTAATAAAAACATTGCTCGGGAATGACTTACAGTATTTATTCTGGAGTGATTTTAAATTGGAAATTTTTCAATTTAGTGTAAAACTGGCCAAATTACCAATACCCGAAAGGACAGTTTCTTGTGCTCACTTGATAGATCAAAAGTCCTTCTAGTGAAATACACTACTACTCAACTTTGGATGCTCTTTATCAATTGATTTTACAAAGAAACTTGCATCGATTTACGATGGTTCAACTTATGATGGGTTTGTCAGAACGTAACCTCATTGCAAGTCAAGGACCACCTATATACAGAGTAGCTTCATAAAAGTGGGTCTTCTTTTTTGGGTCACCCTGCCTTGGTGGGCAATGACCAATGTGTTAATGATAAATTACTGTAGCAAAATCGCATAATATGAATCGGCATAAAGCGAGGGAGACCAATTAAATCAGCGACAAAGCCAAGACTCTAGCAAGATACTTTACCAGCAATTTCCGCTGAGGAGCTTTCTTTGTGTTCTCCGAGAAGGATGTCGTGGATAAGGACCATGACTCTCTCTAGACACTCCCTCCACCGGCCTGTGACGTCAAACTTCCCCGCTCCTTCAATCAACCATTCCAGCCACGTTGTGATATCCGATATCGTGCCATCAAATTGGTCTTGCGAAAATGGCGTACTGACAGTGCAGACATTTTCGTACGTCTTCATGAATGTCAACAGGAGATTCTCCACAGCACCCTTGCTTGATGGGTCCTCGTGCCTGTCGTGCGAATTGTTCCACACAGTGCTTGTGGGGACGGCGAGCGCAGGGTTGCAACACGTCTTGAGGATCTTGAACAAGAGCGGCAGGCTGTGGCGAGTAGGCCGCTTCTCACGCTGCAGTGCCGCCAACTCCGTCTCCGTGAAATACCCAGTTATGCCACATTTCACCGCAGAAGTGTACACATCGGTGTCTTGTGTGTACGTCTGGTGGAAGACGTACACAAAGGCTTGTTGGACGGGACCATTGAGTATTTTGTATATTCGGAATTTGAGCAAATTTCCATTTTCCATCTTTTCCTGAGAAATAAATTTTGGCAAATTAAACCTTTATACAAATCAATAACCTATGTCTAGTTCTTAGTAGTCTGTAACTACAGCCTCTCCTCACATAACGACTGAGCTCCATTCCTAAGAGTAGGTCGGCAAGCGAATGGGTCATTAAGTGAGGAGCAAACTGTACTGGTAGTGGGTTTGTCAACTATCATTAGATACTTTGCACCAATCATAAAATTTTTAGTATATTTTTAAATGTTTATACAGTAGTGTACTATTTACTGTAATAAACACAATAGAGGAAATCAGCTCTAATATACAGTGGAACCTTGGTATGAGACCTAAAGTCATTCCAGAAGGCTGTTTGAGTGCTGCTCCGTTTGAGTATCGAACAAGTTCTTCCCACCCAATTTTCTGTTTCGTTGGCTTGGCTGTTATCACTAATCGTCATAGGCCCCATGGTGACTTGTTTACACAAATACAAAAAAAAAAAAAAAAAACGCTAAAAAATGCAAAGAAACACGAAATAGTTTACAGTGAAGTTCTGACAGGTTGTATTTGTTTGGTCGAGTGCCGAGATTTGTTCGAATTGGGAGCTGGTCGTATACCAAGTTTCCACTGTACATTACTTAGGTTTATATACTGGTTGGAAAGCTGGTCATAAGTCCGAGCGGTCGGTAAACAGGAACGTCATTAAGTGAGGAATACCTGTATTAGTCTGCCAGAAATGAAGAGCATATTTAAAGACACGACAAAATTGATTTCTCTGCAAAGGTTACAATGTGTGATTACATTTTGCATGTTGTTAGGTACAAAGGAAACCACTAACATGCCGGGGCATTTTGGGCAGACTAATGCTAATGCTTACACACTACTAATTAATTATACATTATTACAACAGTAAGGTAACCAATGTTTTACAGTAATAAAATTTATAGATGCGATGTACATATAAAAAATAACAGTACGTACAGTGGACCCCCGCCTTATGATATTAATCCGTTCCTGAGAGCTCATCGTAAGCTGAAATTATCGTTAGCTGAATTAATTTTCCCCAATAAGAAATAATGGAAATCAAATTAATCCGTTCCTGACACCCCAAAGTATGAAAAAAAAAATTTTACCACATGAAATATTAATTTTACTACACACAAACTGAAGACATGCACAGTTACTACTCTACTAAGAATAGAATACATGACACTTACCTTTATTGAAGATCTGGTGATGATTGATGGGATGGGAGGAGAGGAGAGTGTGGATGTTGTTATTGTTTAGAGGGGAAATCACCTTCCATTAGGGCTTGAGGTATCAAGTCCTTTTCTGGGGTTACTTCCCTTCTTCTTTTAATGCCACTAGGACCACCTTGAGTCACTGGACCTCTGTTGCACAACAAATCTGTCCATAGAGCTCTGTACCTCCCGTTCCTTTAAGACTTTCCTAAAATGGGCCATAACATTGTCATTGTACAGGTTGCCAACACGGCTTGCAGTAGCTGTGTCAGGGTGATTGAAGTTCAACCCACTTTGTACACATTTCCTTAATCTCTTTTATCAATTCCATACTAATTCTTGCCCTTTTTACCACAGGGATGGCACTAGAAGCTTTCTTGGGGTCCATGGTGACTTATTTTTCATTTACAAGCACTAAAAACACTGGGATAATGTGAAATGTACCGAATGTATGCATAGATGCGACCGCACTGGCTGGCTTGTAAACACTGGCGCTGAGGCCACATGTGGGACGCGTCCTGGACGAATCATGTAAGGCGAGTTTTTTATCGTGAGGCGAGGCAAAATTTTTGCGTTCAAATGCTTCGTATGGCAGATTTAATGTAACGCAATGCGTTCGTAAGGCGGGGTCCACTGTATTACAATTTAGCACAATAATAGAATAGTACAATTATATGTATGTATTAATGTTTAATCAAACGGTCGTAAATTTCTGGGGTTTTTTAGAGTTGCATTGAACTGGTTAAATGATTTAGCATAGTATTGATATACCTCGAGTTTACCTGGAGGGGGTTTCAGGGGTCAATGCCCCCGCGGCCTGGTCTGAGACCTGGCCTCGTGGTGGATCAGGGTCTGATCAACCAGGTTGTTACTGCTGGCCGCACACAAACCGATATATGAACCACAGCCTGGCTGATCAGGTACTGACTTTCGGTGCTTGTCCAGTGCCTTCTTGAAGACAGACTGGAGCCTATTTGTTAATTTTGGCAGACGAGATGAATTTTAAGTACAGCCCTCAATTGATTGACAAGCAGGGGACGTTTTGCAGGTTCAGGTAATGAATTCCAGATCTTCGGGCCCTTTTAGTGACCTTTTTTGTGCGTAATAATACTATTGCATATAAGTGACCTTTGTATACAGGAGGTCCCCAATTTACAGCGCATGGTTTCACAACGGTTCTCAATTATAGCCGTACTTCATTTGTTCGGACTTCCTACAATAAGTATATTCACCACACACTATAAGCTAAGTATGAAAATATAAGTGTCAGGGGCCCAAGACTGTTCAACTGCCTCCCAGCATACATAACTGGGATTACTAACAGACCCCTGGTTGTCTTCAAGACTCCTGGTTGTCTTCAAGACTCCTGGCTGTCTTCAAGACTCCTGGTTGTCTTCAAGATCCCTGGTTGTCTTCAAGACCCCTGGTTGTCTTCAAGACCCCTGGTTGTCTTCAAAGACCCCTGGTTGTCTTCAAGACCCCTGGTTGTCTTCAAGACCCCTGGTTGTCTTCAAGACCCCTGGCTGTCTTCAAGATCCCTGGCTGTCTTCAAGACCCCTGGTTGTCTTCAAGACCCCTGGTTGTCTTCAAGACCCCTGGTTGTCTTCAAGACCCCTGGCTGTCTTCAAGACCCCTGGTTGTCTTCAAGACCCCTGGCTGTCTTCAAGACCCCTGGTTGTCTTCAAGACCCCTGGTTGTCTTCAAGACTCCTGGTTGTCTTCAAGACTCCTGGTTGTCTTCAAGACCCCTGGTTGTCTTCAAGACCCCTGGTTGTCTTCAAGACCCTGGTTGTCTTCAAGACTCCTGGTTGTCTTCAAGACTCCTGGTTGTCTTCAAGACTCCTGGTTGTCTTCAAGACTCCTGGTTGTCTTCAAGACTCCTGGTTGTCTTCAAGACTCCTGGTTGTCTTCAAGACTCATGGCTGTCTTCAAGACTCCTGGTTGTCTTCAAGACTCCTGGTTGTCTTCAAGACTCTTGGTTGTCTTCAAGACTCCTGGTTGTCTTCAAGACTCCTGGTTGTCTTCAAGACTCCTGGCTGTCTTCAAGACTCCTGGTTGTCTTCAAGACTCCTGGTTGTTTTCAAGACTCCTGGTTGTCTTCAAGACTCCTGGTTGTCTTCAAGACTCCTGGTTGTCTTCAAGACTCCTGGTTGTCTTCAAGACCCCTGGTTGTCTTCAAGACCCCTGGTTGTCTTCAAGATCCCTGGTTGTCTTCAAGACCCCTGGTTGTCTTCAAGACCCCTGGTTGTCTTCAAGACTCCTGGCTGTCTTCAAGACTCCTGGTTGTCTTCAAGACTCCTGGTTGTCTTCAAGACTCCTGGTTGTCTTCAAGACTCCTGGTTGTCTTCAAGACCCCTGGTTGTCTTCAAGACCCCTGGTTGTCTTCAAGACCCCTGGCTGTCTTCAAGACCCCTGGTTGTCTTCAAGACCCCTGGTTGTCTTCAAGACCCCTGGTTGTCTTCAAGACCCCTGGTTGTCTTCAAGACCCCAGGCTGTCTTCAAGACCCCTGGCTGTCTTCAAGACCCCTGGCTGTCTTCAAGACCCCTGGTTGTCTTCAAGACCCCTGGCTGTCTTCAAGACCCCTGGCTGTCTTCAAGACCCCTGGCTGTCTTCAAGACCCCTGGCTGTCTTCAAGACCCCTGGTTGTATTCAAGACCCCTGGTTGTCTTCAAGACCCCTGGCTGTCTTCAAGACCCCTGGCTGTCTTCAAGACCCTGGCTGTCTTCAAGACCCCTGGTTGTCTTCAAGACCCCTGGTTGTCTTCAAGACCCCTGGCTGTCTTCAAGACCCCTGGCTGTCTTCAAGACCCCTGGCTGTCTTCAAGACCCCTGGCTGTCTTCAAGACCCCTGGTTGTATTCAAGACCCCTGGTTGTCTTCAAGACCCCTGGTTGTATTCAAGACCCCTGGTTGTCTTCAAGACCCCTGGTTGTCTTCAAGACCCCTGGTTGTCTTCAAGACCCCTGGTTGTCTTCAAGACCCCTGGTTGTCTTCAAGACTCCTGGTTGTCTTCAAGACCCCTGGTTGTCTTCAAGACCCCTGGTTGTATTCAAGACCCCTGGTTGTCTTCAAGACCCCTGGTTGTCTTCAAGACCCCTGGTTGTCTTCAAGACCCCTGGTTGTATTCAAGACCCCTGGTTGTATTCAAGACCCCTGGTTGTCTTCAAGACCCTGGTTGTCTTCAAGACCCCTGGTTGTCTTCAAGACCCCTGGTTGTCTTCAAGGACCCTGGTTGTCTTCAAGACCCCTGGTTGTCTTCAAGACCCCTGGTTGTCTTCAAGACCCCTGGCTGTCTTCAAGACCCCTGGCTGTCTTCAAGACCCCTGGCTGTCTTCAAGACCCCTGGCTGTCTTCAAGACCCCTGGCTGTCTTCAAGACCCCTGGTTGTATTCAAGAGGGCACTGGACAGGCACCTAAAGACAGTACCTGACCAGCCAGGCTGTGGTTCCTATATCAGTTGACATGTGGCCAACAGTAACAGCCTGGTTGATCAGATCCTGATCCACCATGAGGCCTGGTCTCAGACTGAGCCATGGGGGCATTGACCTCCAAAACCCTCTCCAGGTATACTCCAGGAGTAATGTGTGTACTGTATATGCACATTTTAGGCCTAGCTCTATTGCTCACTTTACCCTTTGAGGGTTTCGGCCGTACTAGTATGGCTTATAACCCAGGGTTTTTGACGTACTAGTATGCCTAAATTCTAGCACCTTCAAATTTAGTGAGAGAAAGCTGGTAGGCCTACATATGAAAGAATGGGTCTATGTGGTCAGTGTGCGTAGTATAAAAAAAAA